ATCAGGAGCCCTTCCTGGGCTGAACTGGGGATCAGGAGCCATTCCTAGGTTCGACAGGGGATCGAGAGCCATTCCTAGGCTCGACTGGGGATCGAGAGCCATTCCGAGGCTCGACAGGGGATCGAGAGCCATTCCTGGGCTAAACTGAAGATTCTGAGGTCTCTCCTCCCCGTTTTGACCCTGAATTCCCTCCATATTCTGGCCCTTATGTCCCGCCATAGTCAGCTCACCCTCAGCCATGATGCAGGGGGTGGAGCTCCTCTCCGCGCTCCCACCGTTCATGGCTTGCTCCCTCGTGGTGGGCACTGTCACCGGCTCTCGCACCTGGTCTGACGGGTTGGGCTCAACATCCAAGGCGATCCTCCGCTCAGTCACTTGGCTTCGCTCTGGCTCGCGGATCACGGCAGGAAATGGCTCTTCGTCATCGGTGGGCTCTGGCTGATGCTCCGTACTGCGGGGAGATGGTGGGCTGCGCTCTGGGTCCGAAGTGGATCTCCGGCGAGATCCTCCACGGGGCCGATGCTGAGTCCACTCCACAAAGGCGGCAAATTCCTCCCAAGGACCATCTTTGGACGACCGCGCTGTGCACTCGGCGTTCAGACTTGCCTCATAGAAAGCGCAGAGCGCGTCGTCCGGATAGCTGGTGACGTTAGCGACCATCAGGAACAGTCTGGTATGGTCCTCGAGAGTCCTGCCTTCCTGCTCCAGCAGGAGGAGGAGGAATTCGGGGCGCGTGAAGGGATCCATGGTGTAAACACAACGGAAAGAAAAACACTGAGGAAAAAATGGAAAACAAACGGAGGGGAGAACACGGAAGTTAAACTGTTTTTGGGGTCGGTTATTCTGTCACGGGCAGGGTGTACTAGAGACCAGGCTGGACGACTAAGATGACGAAATAAAGGATATTTAATGATATGACAACAGGAGATCCAGACAGGGTAGACATCAACACACAGGGTAACATTCACAATAACCGACAAACTAGAATACCAGAGACAGGAACTAATATAGGGCAGATAACGAGGGGCAGACAGGTGAGCACAATGAGGGGATTAACTGATAATGAGAACAAGAACAACCAAATAAGGACACAGGGAGAAACCACAATCGACAGTCCACAGGGGTGTGACAACGTGGTCATGAATGGCTTTTTTTAAATACAGATTGCAAGAAAGGACAATGCAGTGTCATGTCATGTTCAGTTTTTCTGTCTCTTCATATTCAATTTTAGTTTTTATTAGTATTTGGCATTATATTCTATTCATATTTTATATTATTATTTCAGTTTTTATTTTAGTTTATTTTAATGCAAGTTATTTTGTTACATGCTTTTGTTAATTTTTATTAGTTTTTATTTAATTTAAAAAAAGTTTTACTGTAGTTTTAGTTCAGTTTAAATTTTTATATTCCGTTAGTAATTTTAGTGCTTAAACTTATTTATTCAGTTGGAAACATTTCTATTTTTTTGTTTGTTTTTTTTGTTTACTTCTTTCTTTTTTTTATTTATATTTTATTTCAGCTTTTTCAATTAACAATTTTTTTAAATAGTTTTAGGTACCCTCAAACAATAATTCAATTATTATAATACTACCTTTATTACCAAAATTTCTTTTCGCCATTTCGAGCTGTAGCTTCAGCGTTGCAGGAAGCACTGGTAAGAATATATACAGCTTGTGTTCATCTTCTCAACCAGTTGGAGGCCTGCGGGACAGCTTTGTCTATCTGCTTAACTCCAGCCTGGAGTCCTCAGCTAAAGACATTTGTTTCCACTTTTATCTTTTCTTTTTCAATCAGTATGTTTGGTGTTGAGTGGCTGTCTTTGAAAGCAAAGAGAGTTACATGATTAGGGCACACTTAAAGTTAGGCCAGCAGTCGATAAACTGATCTAATTTGACTGGAGCCAGTTGGCTGATGTTGGGAGACTGTGCCGAGGCTGTAAATGACTTGATCCAGTCCAAGGAGTGTGTGTGTGTCAAGAGCTTTTTTTTTCTCTTTTTGGTGCTGTCTGACGCTCTCCGGGGAGAACAGCAGGTCTGTTTCTGTTGAGCTGCTAACTGACACCCCTGAGGAGAGCGAGTACTGTGGTCTAAAAACACTTTCTTGTGAGTTTTAGGATAAATGAGCTGGAGGTGGATTACTTAACACACAAATTACTGAGGATATTTCTTCCTTCTCCAATCATTGTTTCTCTGGGATCATCAGCGATGTCCTGTCACCGTGAAAAATGAGTTCTGCGTATTTCTTCTTATCTTTGTTTCCTCTACACACCACACATCATTAGTAAATAATGCAGCTGCTTTTCCCCTTCCACTTAATAAATTAAGAGTTTTAAGTAAACAAAAATTAAATAAAAATGCCAAAAAATGAAATGGTAACAAGTTTTTTTTGTTTGGCTGCTCTTTTTCTTGTGTTTTTTAAATATTCAACCATTTATTCAGTGATTTAACCTACGCACTTTTGGTTTGCTCTTTTCTTTTAAAATGTCTTGCTTTGAGAAATATATTTGTTTCAAGCTGCTCTATTTCTTGTGTTTTTGAAATATTGAGTCATTTACACAGTGATTTACATAATTTTGCATTTCACTTTTCTTTTAAAATGTCTTGTTTTGAGAAATATAGATAAAGTAAGTGTGGAAAGCATGCTCACTATAATTCACAAAATGCACAAACACTGTTTTGTAAGCTTAAAACACATTGCACAAGTATATAATTTTATATCCATATTTTTATGCACAATTAAATGCGGAACAGTTTTTGGCTTTTGCACACAAGCATGTCAAAGGAGTCAATCAGTGATTGAAAACCTGTAGCTTTCAAGGGGAAACCACGCAAACAAACTCTCATGATCCATGTTTCCATGTTTAAGTGCTGGAGTGTTTAAAATCTAGGTCTTGGGAAAATGTCACGTATTGTCATATTTAATAATGAGGCAGAACCTTCTCATTGGATAAGGCATTATTAGACACTCCTGTAGTGTTCACTCGGGGTTGAGTTCAAATTTAGAAGATATTACTAAATTAAATTAACTATTTTTTATCCAAATAATGTGACGCTATAATGATCACTTGTTTTTGCTATCTTTTGACTGGTGTCTCCATCAGAAGGTCTATAAGGAGAATGGCCACACTTCACATCATCACTTTAGGCTATTTTGAAGCCAGACCTAACATATGGTGTGTTCATTGGCACCAAAGTGACGCAGATGGGAAATGCTACTTTTACTTGTTTCTCGTAAGGCGGCTCCATATTGTATTGAGCATGTGCAGATATGTTATGATTGTTTATATGGTCTTTGATTTTAGTGTGTTGTTTTATAATTTTTTCTGTGTGTTTTCAACGTTAAAATATTATTAGCCATTCATAGATTGACTTTTTTTCTTGATATATCATTATTTATAATTTCAGCTTTTCACTTTATCACTTTAGTATGTTGTAGGAATGTCAATTTCTGAGAATTTTCTTAATTGATTGTCATTTTTAATTGGTTGTTAATGCTACAAAATGTGTAGGACTCAAAAAAAACCATGTGCATAGCCCATTTTTATCCACAAATCAAATGACACCCAAGACATGCGAGTATTGAGATTTTTCCTCCATTAATTAAGGGCGTCTGCACTGCTCATTCATTAAGTATTTCGATTGATGGTTTAATCAAATTAATTAATGCTATTGATCCTTGATTAGCCCAGTCACTTGTATGTTAGTTGTCGTCATATTCATTTTACTGTTTTGAACAGTTATTCAGTGGGACTTTTTGTTATTTCTGTGATGTTTTACTTTTGCATTTAGGAAGTTAACCTCCTCATCTGTCACTCTCTCCTCAGATGATGCAGTTTTCTTGGGACAATTACAAGCGCTACGCCTGGGGCTCCAACGAACTGCGTCCCATCTCTAAACAAGGCCACTCCAGCAATTTGTTTGGTGAGTGTCTGTCTAGAGCGTCTCTCTGACCATGAAACTATGATTCGTGCACGTACAGCTTGATGTCTCAACAGTAAATTGGTAAGCAGTCAGAAATGTCAATCAATGCTGCACAGGTGGTCAGGTGACCTCCATCAAAAAGGCTTTTGATTTCTCTCCACTCTCTCACTTAACAAGCGCCATCTGGGTCTATATCTGCTTTCAAGAGGGCAAACAAAAGCATTTCTGACTTCATCGGGCAGGAATAGCATGGTCACACCGTACAAATATAGTTTCATGATACCTTGATCCTCTTTGGTGCCTTTTTGCATTAATGTGTTTTCCTTGCTTGTAAAGAAATGTTGACCCATTTCTATTTTGAAGCTGAAAAGCGCAGGTTGTGAGTGGGCAGACTAGTCTGTGAATAATTCATGAAGGACTGTCCATCTTTGTATGGTTTGTAATATGCATCAATATCTCAGAGGATGCAGCAGCAACACATTATCACACTCTACCTGCATGTTGTAATATGCGTGATTTAGCGTGATTTAGCTCCTCCCAGAAATGTTACAGTGTCCTCCAAAAGTTTGGAATATATCAGCATGCATTTACACCAAGAAATAATAAGGATTTGAGTAACTTGCAATTATCATTCTAGACCAGCAATAGGGATGTGCGGGTCTAGTCGACTAGTCGACTAAACGGTACAGCTCCTACTAGTCGACACTGAAAACAATAGTCGATTACACGATAGAAAAAAGAAAAAAAAAAAAAAGATTTTATCATTCAAATTATCATCATTTTAACATTGCATTTAAAACGTTTTAAATAACAAGTTAAAATAAAATGTTTGAAAAATAATACATTATTTATAAAAGTTTATCTGGGCGGAAACTACATTTTTACCTCAGACCTCACATGCATTTTCTTTGTGTCAGTTACGGTGAGTTCAAAAATGACCATGCGAAAGACGAGCAAGGTGTGGGATTATTTTGAATTACAAGGAAACGGAAAAATTTTAACATTGCATTTAAAACATTTTAAATAACAAGTTAAAATAAAACATTTGATAATTAATACATTATTTTTAAAAGTTTATCTGGGTGGAAACTACATTTTTACCTCAGACCTCACATGCGTTTTCTTCGTGTCAGTTGCAGTGAGTTCAAAAATGACCATGCGAAAGAGGAGAAGGTGTGGGATTATTTTGAATTAGAAGGAAACGGAAAAATTTTGTGTAAACTGTGTAATGTCAAATTGTCTTACAATAACTCTACTGGAGTGATGCGTAATCATATGCAATACAGGCACGTAGGTGTTAGAGGCTGGCCAAAGCCAGCAAATGTCAATCACGTCATTCACTACAACCCGCCAGTGCTGTGATCCCGTCTGCGCCGTCTATTCCTCTAACGAAGACCCACTTCGGTGATGGTGCGGGATGTCCAGGCACTTTCTGAAACTCTATTGGCTTGCTTTTCGTTATCTCTGCATGCCTGCGACTTCAGTTCCTGCCGAGCGCGTTTTTTCAAGTGCAGGAATTTTATTGTTAATCACCTCAGGTTCCGTCTTTCACCAGACCACGTTGATAATTTCACTGAACAAATAATGCATAGTCTGAGTAAGTAAAATGGGCATCTTTCATTTAAACGACAGTCAAATTAGTCGTCGCACACATCCCTAACCAGCAATGATGATTTTTACAAATAATAATGGCAATATATACATGTCACAGTCAGACATGCCCCTACTGGATTAAACTCGGCCCAGATTTATTTATGTATGTATTAATTAATTAATTAATTAATTATTTATGTATGTATTTTTTTTTTTTTTATAGTTGATTGTGTCAGAACACTTTTGTAGCTTCACTGATTGATTAACAATTAAGTTTAGTGCACAACAGACCAATTAAAACACAGTTTAGAAATCAATTATCAGATAGCACTAGTGTTTTATTTATTTATTTACTTTTATTTTTTAAAAATGTTTTAATAGTTTTGTTGTCTCTTGTCAATGCAGAGTCATCGTCAAGTTATAAAAATGAATGCTTTAAATTTTGTCCAAACCTTATTTTGAAACTTAGGGCTTTTAAAAACTTTTGTGAAATCTTTTTACAGATGAAAATTAATGATGTACTCTTTTCATTACTTGAAAAATTATTCATTTCATTATGATTCAGCCCAAAACATTGGCATTTCCAGTTCTTTTAAACACAGTTGGAAATTCAGTTTTTTTGTTTGATGTTTATGTACGCTAAAAAAAATGGATATAGAAACAGTTTCACTCAAAAATTGCAAGTAAACAATTACGAATGTATGGCAAGTAACACTAACGTGTTATTTTCTTGTAAAACATACTGCAATAATCTTTGTTTTATTTACAACATCGGAAAATAAACATTTACAGTGTAGTCATTAGTCATTTAGAAAAAAAAAGATTTTATTCCAAACATATTTTAAAATAATAATTTTCAGTTGCAGACCTAATTTTGGTGCTTCATTATTAAAAAAACAAAAAACAAAAACAATCTGATAAAATGAGGGATTGACTTTGACTGCACTTTTTTTGATCATACAGACAGTTTCCAACCCTATATCCTCTTAATTAATTGAGTTCTCTGAATCTTGTTAGTCACGTATTTCACTGTTTTTCCGAGTCGAGATTGTGTTATGAAAGATTCCTCAGACGTGCTGCTGTTGTGTTGTAAACTCCACATAGTCAATTGGCACTCAGCTGGAGGGCAGGCCGGGGATTTACAGCGCACATTTGATTAACCTCCATAATTTTGCTTTGGACGTGCCAGTAGAATATACAGTCTTAATTTATTTGGTTCACACACTATCAGAATAACAATATGGCAAGAAGTACTTTACACTCTTTCTTGTG